AAAATCTTCCTCCTCATTTAAGCTCTTTTCAAAATGGTAATGTTGTTGTTGTTAGTTGCGAAGTCGTGTCCGACCCATTGCGATCCCATGGACAACTTTCCTCCAGGCCTTCCTGTCCTCTACCATCTTCTGGAGTCCATTTAAGCTCACGCCTACTGCTTCAGTGACTCCATCCAGCTACCTCATTCTCTGTCGTCCCCTTCTTCTATTGCCCTCAATCTTTCCCAGAAAATGATAATATGGGTAGACAGAACCCTAAAAATATTTCCCAGAAGCCAACTATACCCAATATGACAGTTATCTTTGAAGAAAATCAAGAGGGGGGGGGGGAGAAACTGAGTTAGAAAATGACTTCATATTCCTTACCCAGTGATATACCATCTTGATGATCTCCTTCTAAGATCCACTGTGGAGCCACTTCAGCGACATGTTTCTGCACCAGAGAGAGAATCACCCAAGGGCAGAGATTAGAAAGAGGACAAGATTCGGGGGGGGGGGGAAGGATCTCCTCAATCTCCTCCAGAGACGATTTCCAGAAAAATCTGACGGAATTAGGAAAGGGATGACTTCCAGGACAATTCGCCCACCTCTCCAATCAGCCAGGAGGCATCTCCCTCACCTTTTGATCTTCCTGCTTCCTATCTTCCGCTTGGCTCAGGAGAAAGCCTTCGGCCAGGGCCACCGCTTGAGAACTGGTGTCTGCCCCACACTGTCTCACCCAGCACTCGATCTCTGGGGGCAAGACGGTCAGAAACTGCTCCAGCACCACCAGATCCAAGATCTCTGCTTTGGTGTGAAGTTCCGGCTTCAACCACAGACGGCAAAGCTCGTGGAGTCGGCTGCAAGTCTCTCGGGGACCCTCAACTTCCTGATAGCAAAACTGCCGGAAGGGCTGAGGCTGTGCGCTCAGACTCGGCGTAGGGCCTCCTGAGACATTGTCAACGGTCGCTGCCCAAATTTGGGCACTGCTACCCACTTGACTGCAAGAAACAGCACGTTTTGCTTGGGGCCCATCAGCGTTCGGTCGCCGTAGATTTGACTGGACAACACTTAACATGGCCAGAGAATCACTTGCTGCTTTTTAAAAGTGACTTCAGCACATGGACCCAGCCCTGTAAAGCCGAGGGGAGACACAATTTATAATAATAATAATAATAATAATAAAGTTGGAAGGGACCCTGGAGGTCATCTAGTCCAACCCCCTGCTCAGGCAGGAAACCCTATACCATTTCAGACAAATGGCTGTCCAGTCTCTTCTTAAAAACTTCCAGTGTTGGAGCATTCACCGCTTCTGGAGGCAAGTTGTTCCACTGGTTAATTGTTCTAACTGTCAGGAAGTTTCTCCTTAGTTCTAGGTTGCTTCTCTCCTTGATTAGTTTCCACCCAGTTGCTTCTTGTCCTGCCTTCAGGCGCTTTGGAGAATAGCTTGACTCCCTCTTCTTTGGGGCAGCCCCTGAGATATTGGAACACTGCTATCATGTCCCCCCTAGTCCTTCTCTTCATTAAACTAGACATCCCCAATTCCTGAGAAAGCAGGGAATTATAGATAGTCCTCGGCTTAACGACCACAACTGAGCCCAAAATTTCTGTTGCTAAGCGAGACAGTTGTTAAGTGAGTTTTGCCCCATTTTACGACCCTTCCTGCCACAATTGTTAAGTGAATCACTGCAGTTGTTGAGTTAGTCACACGGTTGTTAAGTGAATCTGGCTTCTCTACTGACTTTTGCAAAAGGGGATCACATGACCCCAGGACACTGTAAACGTCACAAATACGTGCCAATTGCCAAGTGTCCAAATTTAGATTGCGCGATCGTGGGGAGGCTGCAATGGTCGTAAGCGTGAAAAAAAATGGTCATGTCACTTTTTTCAGTGCTGTTGTAAATTTGAACGGTCACTAAATGAACTGTTGTAAATTGAGGACTATCTCCATTTCTGCAGTAAGACGAGGCAGGCAAAGGCCAGATAGCTGAGGGACAGATTTTCTAGAGACCAATCTGACTGTTGGGTAGTGAGGCTTTGCCAGCTAAATTTAGGGTCACTATTTCTTAATCTCAGCAACTTTAAAATGTGTGGGCTTCAACTCCCAGAATTCCCCAGTCGGTGTCTGGCGACAGAATTCTGGGAGTTGAAGTCCACGCACAGTTGAAGTAGCTGAGATTGGAAAATACTGTTTTGGGTATTTAAAAAGGATAATTTTAATTTATCTCCTTAGCATCTCCCTAGGTCAGGGGTAGGCAACCTTGGCTCTTTTATGACTCGTGGACTTCAACTCCCAGAATTCCTGAGCCAGCTGCTGAGGGGAAGGGGAGAGTTTCCAAGCTGAGCCATGTTGGCTCAGGAATTCTGGGAGTTGAAGTCCACGAGTCATAAAAGAGCCAAGGTTGCCTTACCTTGACCTAGGTGATGGGGAGAAATACTGATGGAATTCTCTTATTTTTCTTGATTTCTAGTTTATATTTATGACCGCCAGTTGGTGTAGTGGCTAAGGCACAAAGCTAGAAACCAGGAGACTGTGCATTCTAGTTCTGCCTTAGGCACAAAGCCAGCTGGGTGATCTTGGGCCAGACACTCTCTCTCAGCCCTGGGAAGAAGGAAATGGCAAACCTTATCTGAAAAAAAAACCCCTTGTCAAGAAAACCATCTCAGACAAATGGCTGTCCAGTCTCTTCTTAAAACCTTCCAGGGTTGGAGCATTCATTGCTTCTGGAGGCAGGTTGTTCCACTGGTTAATTGTTCTAACTGTCAGGACATTTCTCCTTAGTTCTAGGTTGGAAAACACGAAGGATCGGCTTAACGACAGAGAAAATCCAGGAGAAAAAAAAATATCTCTAGCTATGTGGTCGCTCTCAGTCGACACCGACTTGATCAACAACCCATCATCAATTGGACCAGAAAGATCTGGATTCAGGTCCAGCCTTCAACCACCCGCCAGGTGACTGGCAAAACTGAGCAAATTGCACGCCTAGCCCGCGATGGCCAAAGCAGGGACCCTCCCAGCCCAAGGTGCTGATGCAGACAACGCCTCCCACCTGGGTCAGGATGCACTGGATTGCTCTGCAAACAGGTTCTTACCAGATGCTCTTCGGAGAGGCGATCAGAGGCTGTAGCTGCTCCTGTTTGCAAGAAAAGGACGCAACCTGCACGGAGCAGTGACGCCAGCCTCGCGCCTCCTACATTTCTGCCAGAAGCAGGGCGTGCCTTCGCTGGAAAGACTCAGTCCTCCACTTCCTCCCGCCCCCCTCCCAGTTCCTTCCTCTCTAGGAACCCCTCTTCCGTTTCTTTAACCCCTCGAGGACCGAAGAGCTCTAGGATGCGATGCCCTGTATCCTATGCATGCTTAAGTCAAGCTCCATCTCAAGATTTGGTGGCCTCGAGGAATTACAGAATAGCAGAGTTGGAAGGGACCTTGGAGGTCTTCTAGTCCGACCCCCTGCTCAAGAAGGAGAGCCTTTCTGGAATGGTATAGGTCGGGGGTAGGCAACCTCGGCTCTTTTATGACTCATGAACTTCAACTCCCAGAATTCCTGAGTCAGCTGACTCAGGAATTCTGGGAGTTGAAGTTCATGAGTCATAAAAGAGCCGAGGTTGCCTACCCCTGGTATAGGTATAGGGCAGGGGTAAGCAACCTTGGCTCTTTTATGACTCGTGGACTTCAACTCCCAGAATTCCTGAGCCAGCCATGCTGAGGGGAAAGGGAGAGGTTTCCAAGCTGAGCCATGCTGGCTCAGGAATTCTGGGATTTGAAGTCCACGAGTCATAAAATAGCCAAGGTTGCCTACCCCTGGTATAGGGTATAGGGGTTTCCTGCCTGAGCAGGGGTTTAGACTAGAAGACCTCTAAGGTCCCTTCCAACTCTGCTATTCTGTAATTCTGTTATTTCAGGCAAATAGCTGCCCAATCTCTTCTTAAAAAACCTCCAGTGATGATTGTATTTTATGATTATGATTGTGATTATCACTTGTTGTTTGTATGTACACTGAGAGCTTATGCACCCGAGACAAATTCCTTGTTATCCAATTACACTTGGCCAATGAAGAATTCTATTCTATTCTATTTTTGGAGGCAAGTCTTTCAACTGATTAACTGTTCCCACTCTCAGGAAATTTCTCCTTATTTCTAGGTTAGATCCCTCTTCGATTAGTTTCCATCTGTTACTTCTTGTACTGTCTTCTGGTGCTTTGCAGAACAGGTTGGCCCCCTCTTCTTTATGTCAGCCCCTTAGATATTGGAAGACTGCTATCGTATCATCCCTAGTAGAGAAATAACTAATTGTTGGATAATTGTCTTTCCTTTCAGCTCCAGTGTTTCTCAACCTTGACAATTTTAAGGCATGTGGACTTCCTCCCAGAATTCCACAGCCAGCATTGCTGGCTGTGGAATTCTGGGAGTTGAAGTCCACATGCCTTAAAATTGTCAAGGTTGAGAAACACTGAGCTAGGCCGTCTGCCTGATGTTTGGAATAAACACAATTATTCTGTGTTAAACCAAACACTTGTTTATTGGTTGGTTAAATAAATTTATATCAGTGTTTCTCAGTCTCAGTGACTTTTGGATGGGTGGACTTCAACTCAGCTGGCTTTCAGGACTAAGAGAAGCCTAGAACTCACAGACTCCTGCTTTCTAGTCCAGTACCTAACACAAAATTTATTATCTGAGAACCAGTTTGGTGCTGGCTTACGTTTTAGGTTAGGTATTCGACTAGACCACAGGTCAGCAACCTGCGGCTCCGGAGCCGCATGTGGCTCTTTGAGCCTTCCCCTGCGGCTTCCAGCCTCCTCTGCCATTTGCAGAGAGAGACAGAGACAGAGAGAGGCACTTCCCTTCTCTCTCTCTCTCTCTCTCTCTCTCTCTCTCTCTCTCTCTCTCTCTCTCTCTCTATGTGTGTGTGTGTGTGTGTTGTGTGTAAAAAAGAGTGGACTAATGGTGTTCTCCAACGAGCTGAAAAGCTTTTTAGGTGGGGCTCCTCTCTTTGCTGCGTCTCTGCAGGAAGCAGGAAGCAGGAAGGGCAGGAGAGAGCTAGCTAGCCCAGCTATGCTGACTCAGGAATTCTGGGAGTTGAAGTCCATGAGTCATAAAAGAGCCGAGGTTGCCTACCCCTGAGCTTGTTGGAAAACAGCTTGAAGCCAGCTTGCCAGGTAAACAGAAGATCAGAGAGAGGGGGGGGGGAGAGAGAGACGGAGAGAAAGAGAGAGAGGGAGAGGGAGAAAGAGAGACAGAGAGACCCTTTTGACATCTAAAATGAAGCTAACACTGCATATATCCTTTTTTACCTTTATGATATATATATATACTGTATATTTTTAAAAGACAACAAAGTGATCACCAGTATATATACACACACACACACCTATAATAAAGGTAAAAAAGGATATATGCAGTGTTAGCTTCATTTTAGATGTCAAAAGGGT